CCAGTTTTGTACTCAATACTCTTTCAGCTTTGCTCATTGACAAGGTGTTCATGCCTCTTATTATTAAGATAAGAGAGAAAAGAAAACACAACTTGTATCCGAACATAACATGAAGAAGCAATCAATAATGATACAAATTCTAGAGGTAGATAAATCGTACAGCAAGCGTGAGGGTCACAAGACTGGAACTACGCAATAGGAATACAATAGAACAATACTAAACAGCCTGATTAGCCGTAAGTATATAGCGGTGATCATAATAGAAACTAATGAGTTCTCAACACCCACACTTGATCAACGCTATAATTAGTTATTCAGTCTCATTAATTCCGAGTTTATTTCTGAACTTCTCAAATGAGGGTTTAGCCAATAGTTAAGCAAATAGTTCTAATAATGAATTAAAAATGATACTATATTGATAAATAACTAAGTTTAAGGCGATGTCGAAATTGAAGATTAACGATGTAAAGACTTTAGAAGTATAAGAAATCTACGGATTTAGAAGTGATTTGTGATGCTTCATTTTTAAAACTAACTGAGAAGATTTGTTCCTTATTGTCTTTTAGTTTTCTCTTAATCGAACTGAAGCTTGTAATTGCACAAATTTCTGGTTTTAGGTTGTTCCATAATGACGGTCCCCTATAATTAAATGATGTCCTGCCTTTCTCAGAGCTTGCCTTTGGTATTAATAGCATATCACTTTTTGCATATCTGTGCCATGTCAAGGGATTGAAATTGAATTATGGTAGGATTGTCAAATGTTTGATTGCATAACAGGCAAACTGGAAATGGAGAGAGACAAAGGAGCATCTTTATTAAACAATTTTGTGATAAGCCCTTTTTTAGGTCCTTCTAGATACGTCAGTTGGGGACATTGATATTGAGTTATGGTCAAAGGAGGCACCAAAAGCATGCAGAAATTTTGTGCAACTGTGCATGGAGGGCTATTACAATGGTACTATATTCCATAGGATTGTCAAAGGTGACTCAATTGTGCTGTTTTTGAAATATTTTTTTCTTATATTTTTGAAAATTTTTTTACATCTATATTTCATTCATAACTGTTTGAATTTCAGTCTGGTTTGGTGTCCTTCAGTCTGGTTTGGTGTCCTGCAGAATCCCCATTCAACATGCTAACTGATTTTGACAGTTGAAGCCTGCTGATATTTTATCACTACATTAGAATGAATTTTTTGATGCTGCTGGTTGTTCTTTCTTCTATTCTCAGCCCAAGGTTATCACCCTTCAGTTTTAGAAATGGTCAAGATTTGGTCTTAACCATATCCACTTTTTACAGGATTTATTGCTCAGTGTGGTGATCCTCTTGGAACTGGATACGGTGAGTTGTTTGTCAACCCCAAATTGCTATGCAAGCTTTACGTTCTTAAAACTGAGGTTCACAGCCCATTTTAAGTACCTTGTATTTAAGAGTGTGTCTATATCAGTTCAAAAATTAAATGCTTTTTTAAATTGAAGAGTTGAGTTTACCATTGACTCACTAAAGATGATCGCTTTTTTTGTCTTCCATGTATAGGCATATTTTGTTAATGTTGGGTTTCCTTTAATAAAATGTTTCAAAATATGCACTTTGCATTTTCAAATACCTATCTTTCTAGGAGGAGAATCAATATATGGCAAGCCTTTTAAGGTAAGAAGGTCCATTCTTCCATAGTTCATTATGTTGTCTCAAATGCCCTGTTACATGTAAAAGCTGAGAGAAAACTAAAGCCGTTTTGCATTTCTTTGGTACTGTACCCTGTAATCTTACCACTGATTTACTGCCCCACTTCCGTATTATTATCCATGTAATCCGATGCTTGTAAGAAGAAATTACCAGTTAAATTCTTGTAACTGTATAACCTTCAATTTGCTATTTTTTGCAATCGAGTCTTGATGCCTTTTCTCTAAGGATGAATTCCATCAAAGGCTACGCTTCAATCGAAGAGGGTTGGTAGGCATGGCGAATTCTGGGCCTGATGACAACAGAAGTCAATTCTTTTTTACACTTGATGCAGCACCCGAGCTAGATAAAAAACATACCCTTTTTGGAAAGGTAGGAACACAGTGTAGTTGTTTTCATCAATATTTCAATTTGTGATCTTGCCGAATATGGCAAATGGCGACTTTAAATAGATTTAATGCTGAAATAGTAATCTGTCACCCTACTGCGCTGGGCTGCATATTTCTTAAACACTTTTTCAGTAATCAGATTCTTGTAGAGAAGCTATTATAACGAATTGGAGCATAACAATTGATGATGTTGTAGAATGTTTTAAAAAATGCAGCATAACAAAAACCTTTCGCCAATGAATCATTCCTAATGTCGGGTAATCCTGTAGTTGATTTGAATGTTTCCTTCCGTACAGATTGGAGGAAAGACCATTTATAATATGATTCGCTTGATTGACATTGAAATAGATGGAAACGATAGACCTCTTGAGCCACCAAAGATATTCAGCATAGAGGTAAATCTATTCAAGCTTTTTGACATGATATTCTAAAGATGCCTTAACTCTATAAAAGTTAAAGTTATGCTGTGTTTGTTAAGTATTTCTATATCAAGCATGAACCTCGCAGTTGCAAGTTAGAACCGTCCTGCCCTTCAAATCGAAGCGTTTACACATATCCCTATCTTTCACAAAGCACTCTCTAATAAACAGGTAAATAAGTTATTTTCGTGACCTTTTATTTCATATAGTTGAAACCCGGTAGGTGAAATTGCTATATTTATAATACCATCTTCCCAGAATCATAGAAGACTACCCCTTCGACCAACTATTTTATTTAAGACGAGTTGTCTCATCCAGAAGCCTATTAATTTAGGATTTTGATCAGCCACATTACTTGAGATCATAAGATCTTACCAGAATCATAGAAGACTACCCCTTCGACCAGCTATTGTATTTAAGACGAGTTGCCTCATCCAGAAGCCTATTAATTTAGGAATTTGATAGGCCACATTACTTGAGATCATAAGGTCTTACCAGAATCATAAAAGACTACCCCTTCGACCAGCTGTTCTATTTAAGACGAGTTGCCTCATCCAGAAGCCTATTAATTTTGGAATTTGATAGGCCACATTACTTGAAATCATACCATCTTCCCAGAATCATAGAAGACTACCCCTTCGACCAGCTATTCTATTTATGATGAGTTGCGTCATCCAGAAGCCTATTAATTTAGGAATTTGATAGGCCACATTACTTGAGATCATAAGATCTTACCAGAATCATAGAAGACTACCCCTTCGACCAGCTATTGTATTGAAGACGAGTTGCCTCATCCAGAAGCCTATTAATTTAGGAATTTGATAGGCCACATTACTTGAGATCATAAGATCTTACCAGAATCATAAAAGACTACCCCTTTGACCAGCTGTTCTATTTAAGACGAGTTGCCTCATCCAGAAGCCTATTAATTTTGGAATTTGATAGGCCACATTACTTGAGATCATACCATCTTCCCAGAATCATAGAAGACTACCCCTTCGACCAGCTATTCTATTTATGATGAGTTGCGTCATCCAGAAGCCTATTAATTTAGGAATTTGATAGGCCACATTACTTAAGATCATAAGATCTTACCAGAATCATAGAAGACTACTCCTTCGACCAGCTATTCTATTTAAGACGAGTTGCCTCATCCAGAAACCTATTTATTTAGGATTTTGATCGGCCACATTACTTGAGATCATACCATCTTCCCAGAATCATAGAAGACTACCCCTTCGACCAGCTATTCTATTTAAGACGAGTTGCCTCATCCAGAAACCTATTAATTTAGGAACTTGATCAGCCACATTACTTGAGATCATAAGATCTTCCTAGAATCATAGAAGACTACTCCTTCGACCAGCTATTCTATTTATGACGAGTTGCCTCATCCAGAAGCCTATTAATTTAGGATTTTGATCAGCCACATTACTTGAGATCATTCCATCTTCCCAGAATCCTAGAAGACTACCCCTTCGATCAGCTATTCTATTTTTGACGAGGTGCCTCATCCAGAAGCCTATTAATTTGGGAATTTGATATGCCACATTACTAGTGATGACACCAGCTTCCCAGATTCATAGAATACTACTCCTTCGACCAGCTATTCTATTTATGACGAGTTCCCCATCAAGAAGCCTATTAATTTAGGAATTTGTTAGGCCACATTACTTGAGATCATACCATCTTCCCAGAATGATTGAAAACTACCCCTTCGACCAGCTATTTTATTTAAGACGAGTTGCCTCATCCAGAAGCCTATTAATTTAGGAATATGATAGGCCACATTACTTGAGATCATAAGATCTTACCAGAATCATAAAAGACTACCCCTTCGACCAGCTGTTCTATTTAAGACGAGTTGCCTCATCCAGAAGCCTATTAATTTTGGAATTTGATAGGCCACATTACTTGAAATCATACCATCTTCCCAGAATCATAGAAGACTACCCCTTCGACCAGCTATTCTATTTATGATGAGTTGCGTCATCCAGAAGCCTATTAATTTAGGAATTTGATAGGCCACATTACTTAAGATCATAAGATCTTACCAGAATCATAGAAGACTACTCCTTCGACCAGCTATTCTATTTAAGACGAGTTGCCTCATCCAGAAACCTATTTATTTAGGATTTTGATCAGCCACATTACTTGAGATCATACCATCTTCCCAGAATCATAGAAGATTACCCCTTCGACCAGCTATTCTATTTAAGACGAGTTGCCTCATCCAGAAACCTATTAATTTAGGAACTTGATCAGCCACATTACTTGAGATCATAAGATCTTCCTAGAATCATAGAAGACTACCCCTTCGACCAGCTATTCTATTTATGACGAGTTCCCTCATCCAGAAGCCTATTAATTTAGGAATTTGATAGGCCACATTACTTGAGATCATACCATCTTCCCAGAATCATAGAAGACTACCCCTTCGACCAGCTATTCTATTTATGACGAGTTGCCTCATCCAGAAGCCTATTAATTTAGGAATTTGTTAGGCCATATTACTTGAGATCATACCATCTTCCCAGAATGATTGAAAACTACCCCTTCGACCAGCTATTCTATTTAATACGAGTTGCCTCATCCAGAAGCCTATTAATTTAGGAATATGATATGCCACATTACTTGAGATCATAAGATCTGACCAGAATCATAGAAGACTACTCCTTCGACCAGCTATTCTATTTATGACGAGTTGCCTCATCGAGAAGCCTATTAATTTAGGATTTTGATCAGCCACATTACTTGAGATCATTCCATCTTCCCAGAATCCTAGAAGACTACCCCTTCGATCAGCTATTCTATTTTTGACGAGGTGCCTCATCCAGAAGCCTATTAATTTGGGAATTTGATATGCCACATTACTAGTGATGACACCAGCTTCCCAGATTCATAGAATACTACTCCTTCGACCAGCTATTCTATTTATGACGAGTTCCCCATCAAGAAGCCTATTAATTTAGGAATTTGTTAGGCCACATTACTTGAGATCATACCATCTTCCCAGAATGATTGAAAACTACCCCTTCGACCAGCTATTCTATTTAATACGAGTTGCCTCATCCAGAAGCCTATTAATTTAGGAATATGATAGGCCACATTACTTGAGATCATAAGATCTTACCAGAATCATAGAAGACTACTCCTTCGACCAGCTATTCTATTTATGACGAGTTGCCTCATCCAGAAGCCTAATTATTTAGGATTTTGATCAGCCACATTACTTGAGATCATACCATCTTCTCAGAATCCTAGAAGACTACCCCTTCGATCAGCTATTCTATTTTTGACGAGGTGCTTCATCCAGAAGCCTATTAATTTAGGAATTTGATATGCCACATTACTAGTGATAGGCCACATTACTTGAGATCATAAGATCTTACCAGAATCATAGAAGACTACCCCTTCGACCAGCTATTCTATTTATGACGAGTTGCCTCATCCAGAAGCCTATTAATTTAGGAATTTGATAGGCCACATTACTTGAGAGCATACCATCTTCCCAGAATGATTGAAGACTACCCCTTCGACCAGCTATTATATTTATGACGATTTGCCTCTTCCAGAAGCCTATTAATTTAGGAATTTGGTAGGCCACATTACTTGAGATCATACCATCTTCCCAGAATGATTGAAGACTACCCCTTCGAACAACTATTCTATTTAAGACGAGTTGCCTCATCCAGAAGCCTATTAATTTAGGAATTTGGTAGGCCACATTACTTGAGATCATACCATCTTCCCAGAATGATTGAAAACTACCCCTTCGACCAGCTATTCTATTTATGACGAGTTTCCTCATCCAGAAGCCTATTAATTTAGGAATATGATAGGCCACATTACTTGAGATCATAAGATCTTACCAGAATCATAAAAGACTACTCCTTCGACCAGCTATTCTATTTATGACGAGTTGCCTCATCCAGAAGCCTATTAATTTAGGAATATGATAGGCCACATTACTTGAGATCATACCATCTTCCCAGAATCATAGAAGACTACCCCTTCGACCAGCTATTTTGTTTAAGACGAGTTGCCTCATCGAGAAGCCTATTAATTTAGGAATTTTATATGCCACATTACTTGAGATCATGCCATCTTCCCAGAATCATAGAAGACTACTCCTTCGACCAGCTATTCTATTTATGACGAGTTGCCTCATCCAGAAGCCTATTAATTTAGGAATATGATAGGCCACATTACTTGAGATCATACCATCTTCCCAGAATCATAGAAGACTACCCCTTCGACCAGCTATTTTGTTTAAGACGAGTTGCCTCATCGAGAAGCCTATTAATTTAGGAATTTTATAGGCCACATTACTTGAGATCATGCCATCTTCCCAGAATCATAGAAGACTACTCCTTCGACCAGCTATTCTATTTATGACGAGTTGCCTCATCCAGAAGCCTATTAATTTAGGAATATGATAGGCCACATTACTTGAGATCATACCATCTTCCCAGAATCATAGAAGACTACCCCTTCGACCAGCTATTTTGTTTAAGACGAGTTGCCTCATCGAGAAGCCTATTAATTTAGGAATTTTATAGGCCACATTACTTGAGATCATGCCATCTTCCCAGAATCATAGAAGACTACTCCTTCGACCAGCTATTCTATTTATGACGAGTTGCCTCATCCAGAAGCCTATTAATTTAGGAATATGATAGGCCACATTACTTGAGATCATACCATCTTCCCAGAATCATAGAAGACTACCCCTTCGACCAGCTATTATATTTAAGACGAGTTGCCTCATCCAGAAGCCTATTAATTTAGGAATTTGATAGGCCACATTACTTGAGATCATACCATCTTCCCAGAATCATAGAAGACTACCCCTTCGACCAGCTATTTTGTTTAAGACGAGTTGCCTCATCGAGAAGCCTATTAATTTAGGAATTTTATAGGCCACATTACTTGAGATCATGCCATTTTCCCAGAATCATAGAAGACTACTCCTT